GACATCAAAATGCGTGTTACATCGACGGAATGGGACATCCATGGTGCTCGCATAGAGAATTCGAAAATGAAACAATATAGATCTATCGAATTTGGTCGAGCAAACATAGTCACACCAGAACATGTCAACAATTCGATGTCAAACTAACATTCACCACACAGTCAACAAACATGGTCAACCAACATGACAGACAAACGTATTGGACAGTACGGAGAGACATGACAAAGAACATGACAGAGCAAACATGACAAAAACCATGACAGACTAAACATGACAACAAACATGTCAACACACATGTGTCAACAGCACATCACATAGTTGGCGCGGTTGTTGGTGTTCATTGCAAGTTTTCAGTAATTTGGAGTGGGGTATTGAGAAAGAAGAATGGGTACGTGAGTTAGGCATTTGGGATTTGATTGGTGCTAGGCTGTGACAGGCAATGCACAGTTGCCCGCCCTACCTGGCTAGTGTGTAATTCCCACGCCATGGGTTGTAAGAGACACATGTGCAGGCGAACACAAGTGATTATCTTCACGTAGATAGGGTAACTCCGGCTTGCGCTGAGCTTTTCTGTCGCGGACATACGCTGCAGAAATAGAACGTTATTTAAGGGAAAGGGTACACCTATTTTGGCCTCGGCTCGGGAAACGGAAGCAGGATCAGCAGCTGGTGGAAAGCTAGTACGCTGGCCAGGAGCAATTCCTAGAGGCACAAATTAACAAATTAAATTAAATTCGGTTCTTTTTATCTGATGGTGTCTTGCGGATTAGTGTTGTGGATTGCTTACAGTCTCCATTATTGTGCAATAGCTCGCAAGATTCTTGTCTAGTTATCATAGATTAATTTCGTTCATTGCGAGTACATAAAGTTAGATAGTGTGTTGCGATTTGATAGAATTACTCATTTGTATTAGAGATTTGATGATAATAAGCGAATAGAGGCAGCAGGAACACAAGCTTATAGTGTGCGGGCCAACGTTCGGCCGTTGGGTGGTCGAGTTGCGAGGCAGATGGGGTCAAAGTGTTTGTTGTATTTCCATGCTGCTCTGCGGCATTGGTCTTGCGGGTAGAATTCCGACGTAAAGGCGTTAGAGCGGTAAAAGGGGTGGGTGCTGTTGAACTCTTTAAGTTCATTACGATATTAGCGTCTGACCGGTTCGTGCTCAGGGGTATTTGGGCAATAGGTCTCGCGTTAATGAGACTGAAGCGTTTGGTTTTTGCGGCGGGGTAATACTATGTTTACGTTTAAGTTTTCATGTGTGAGAACGGAGCCTAGAAATAGAAGGAGAAGGTGCGAGAGGGCCGCCTATGGGTGCGGAGAGGCTGAGTAGGAGGGTCGGGTGCGATGCGGGGCAACAGCGCTGAGGCAGAGACCGCGAAGTGGGAAGGAGACGGGATGGCGCCTGAGGAGAGGGACTAGAGGAGGGGGGCCGGAATGATGGGCGATGACGGAGGCTGTTGTGGGGGTCGGCGAGCTGGCGGTGACGGCAAAGGGGAGGGCGGATTGCGGAAGGCGGCTGGCGTCACACGACGGCGACGACCCAAAGTGGAGCTGGAAAAGAGTGTCATCCTTCAGTGGCATGCGCGGCAGTAGACGGAAGGATTACAGAGAAGACGTGGTGTGAACGAAGGTGTGTTGCAGTCGGAGTCCGTCGCAGGGAAGTCGTGGGTGACAGAGTGGTGTCGGAATAGAGCGAAGCGAGCAGCGAGCAAAGGCCAACAAGCCGACAAAGGGCCAAGGCGACAAGTACGGGCGACATGGTGTGACGAGAGATAATGAGAGACGGTGGGCGGATAGTAAGCGACGCGAGGTGGACAGTGGAGCCGACGATTGAGAGAGAGTGTGAAGGTGGCGAGCGGATGGGATGGGCGAGTGCGGGAGTGGCTGGAGAAGGTGACGAGGAGAAGTGTGGGGAAAGTGGGACGTGGAGGAGGGCCGGGGCAGGAGGGCTGGTTGGACGTTGGGAGGGAGTGGCGCAGGGTAGCGAATAGGTAGATGGTCGTGGGCCGAGGCGTGGATGGCAGGTGAGAGGACGATCAGTACGCGGGCGGGGGGCGGGCGGGGGGCGGGGCGGGCGGGCAGCGGGCGACCGCGATGCCCTCGCGGAAAAAACGCCGCCGCCGAGGCCGCCGGCCCACCT